TTAGTCTAATGGATGTAGCTTGTTCTAACGTATACAGGCCATTCGTACCCGGCGAGGGGACGCTATACGCTTTGCGTTGAGTTGTTTCTTTTCTTACACAGTTATTCTTTGAACTTGTCCAGAGACTATTACCGTTTTTGTGTGGTTTGTTCCTTAACCATTGTATTTTAACTTCTTCACTGAACAGAGACCCCGACCTGCTCTCCTAGCGAGTTCAGCTGTGGTCCTGGTATGAATTGTATTCCCCTGACATGGAGGTGTGATCGTGATGTAGATTGCCCATCTGGAGCTGATGAGCACAATTGCGGTAGGTCTAACTCTTTTGTTATAAAGGAGAATCCTGAATTTTTCTGCCTAATGTACACTGTTGGTCATAATGGTGGAATATTTATTTTTACCCCAGTTTAGGGAAGGATTTAAAAAAATTATTTATTTCTAATAGATCTAGATAATGACATACATTCTCAGATTTTATTGAATATTAATTTGCGAGTGTTTGTTTTGCGTGACTGCTTAATCATTTGTGTGCTACTATGCTAATCAGCTAAGGGACCTACGTCCTTAAGTCATAATTGACAGTAAAGAGGATTAATGCCTCACAAAAGGGCACTAATATGTAGCTGATCGACACGATTTTTTTCATGGGGCCTCACAGTAACGAGGCCATTGCTTAGCCCCTGAATCATGACTGTACGCAGTGTTTGCTAAGGTACGCGGCCCCTTCCACAAATCCCCCAAAACGAAGAAAATGCAATAAATTGTCAAAAATTCATTGCATTTCCCCCCGGCCCCCAACAGGAAAAATTCCTCTGTGTGGCCTTGCCTTGAACCATAATGCATGGCCCTACAGAGGAATTTTTCCTGTTGGGGGCCGGGGGAAAATGCAATGAATTTTTGACAATTTATTGCATTTTCTTCGTTTTGGGGGATTTGTGGAAGGGGCCGCGTACCCTAGCAAACACTGCGTACAGTCATGATTCAGGGGCTAAGCAATGGCCTCGTTACTGTGAGACCCCAGAATAAAAATCGTGTCGATCAGCTTTAATAGTGCCCTTTTGTGAGGCATTAATCCTCATTACTGTCAATTATGACTTAAGGACGTAGGTCCCTTAGCTGATTAGCATAGTAGCACACAAATGATTAAGCAGTCACGCAAAACAAACACTCGCAAATTAATATTCAATAAAATCTGAGAATGTATGCCATTATCTAGATCTATCAGAAATAAATAATTTTTTAAAATCCTTCTCTAAACTGGGGTAAAAATAAATATTCCACCATTATGACCAACAGTGTATATTGTTATTGTTGTAGCTTGCTCAAAATGTTTAAACATCGTGCATTTGAAAATGCTTTGTTAAATGGAAGAAATTAAATGTGGTTTAAACAATGCGGATAATGGCAAGTTTTACATGAGGTTCGGGAAAAACTGCAGATTTTTTATATCAATTTATCAATAAAAGATGTTGTTGTGTACTATTTGTTCCCCTTCTGTTTATCTTAATCTTTATCTTATCTTAGATGCACTGACCTGTGCGTCTAACCAGTTCACCTGCAACAACTACAAGTGTGTTACAATTAGTTGGGTCTGCGATGGAGACAACGATTGTGGGGATAGTTCAGATGAGATCAACTGCCCCAGTCTAACATGTGCCCCACACGAGTTTGAGTGCACAGGCACCAACGCAACCACCTGCATTCCCTACGGGTTGAAGTGTGATGGGGACAATGATTGCCGCGATGGATCTGACGAGTCAAGTACCCACTGCTCAGGTCCTACTGTGCCATGTTCTGCAGGACATTTCCAATGTACCAGTGGCGAGTGTGTCCATAATTCATGGAAGTGTGATGGAGAGAGGGACTGTTTCGATGGATCAGATGAAGATTCTTGTCGTAAGTTGACCCACTCTTTTATCTTTCTATTTAAAAAAAAATCCCTTAAAATTCCAATGTCATAACCTTATTTAGAAACTCTTAAAGGCTAAGTGCACTCCAATAATAATTTGCTTTTAGTACATGTAGATGCTGAGAAACAGAGCAAAATAAATTTGAGTAAAATCGGATAACTAATAAGGAAGTTATGAATTTTTGTATAGTATGAAATACTATGGAATTTGTATCATATTACGTGCATGACATTTCTCAAAATCTGTTATGAACTTTGAAGAATTGATACCATTTTCTGAATGAATTATATTAATAATCATTGATTTTTATATAAATAGGTTATCAAAAACAATAATCATGATTTAACTGAAGAAAAAAATTATTCTATATTTGTGCATCCACACAAAAACATATTACTATCGATATAACTTGGATACTGGTGTGAGGAAATAAGACTTTTAGGGGGGAAATGGAAATTTATATTATCAATATAAAGAAAACAATTAGTGGATAGTGAGGCAATGACGTCACAGACTCATTGGTGAGTTGCAAATTTGTTTCGTGATTTTCATGTCATTAAAAACTAAATAACTTTCTTATTAGTTATCCGATTTTGCTCAAACTTCTTTTGATTTGTTTGTGTGATTTTTTTGCTTCTATTGCAAGTAAGTTATTTTTGGACAGGACTTGACCTTTAATCAAAATGATTGTAGGATAGTGTTAGTCCAGAACCAATGAAAAATGAAACAATTTGCATATATTATGAAAGGTGACAGTCTTCCTCATGGGATTTGAAATTAACCAAGTTATTTTTTTCCCTGACAGCACCTATTACACTGAGCCCCTGTGCTGCCGGTGAACACCAATGTGACAACGGTATTTGTATTTCGGGAGACGTGGAATGTGATGGTACCCAGCAGTGTGCTGACGGTAGTGACGAAGCAAACTGTAATGGTGAGTAACAGCATGTCTTCTTATACATTATTCATAGTTATACTAAATTTTTGTTGGAGAATTAGTCATATCTTGCACTGTCTATTGAATGCAGATTGATGGTTAGATTAGATAAGGATCGACCTCTATTGAGCTGGATATAAACGAATAATGCAAAATTAGAGAATATGAAAACAGCTAAATGGTAAATATATATCTCGTTTACAATCATTGTAATATAGGATTGGGGCAGAATATTTTGTTTTCCATGAAGTTAATACCCAGTTTTTATCTTCCTACACATTGCCTGCAGAGTGTAATCCAACCACTCACTTCAAGTGTTCCAACTCTACCTGTCTGCCAATGTTACGTGTGTGTAACGGCATCCCTGAATGCCCAAACAAAGAAGATGAACCAGGACAAGAAATATGTGGTAAGCACTGGATTACTGATTGGGGGGGGGGGCAGTTGACCCCCTAAATAAAATTCAAACGTGGTTTATTTCTAATTCGATACCAGTGATTGATTTACAAATGTTGCTGAAATGACATGATTTTTCGGGGTTTTTTCTCTCACCTTTGCCCATTATGCCGCAGGCGGCACTGCCGGTGGGAGGGAGGGAGGAGTGAAGGGAGGGGGAGGGGGGCACTGTGCCCCCACTTTCTCAGGTACCTCCAAAAAGCCCATGTTTACATAGGACAAGTGCCCCTTTTCTTTTCTAATAACTGTCCTTTTTCTCTCTTTTCATCTCTGGTGAGAACGTCTTTTCAGGTGCGAGAAATTCCCTTTTTTACCTCTGATATTTTTGCCCTTTTTAAATTTGACTCGTGCCCCTTTTCCTTTTAATTGGTGTTCTTTTCCCTTCTTAATAAGAACCCTCTTCCCTTTATCTCCAATGCCCCATGTTCACCTATAATAAGTGCATCTTTTTCTTTAACAGATTCCCCATTTCCATTCTCACAAGTGCCTTTTTCATCTCTGTTGAGTGTCCATTTTGCTTTTGATACGAGCACCTTTTCTTTTCTAATATATTTCATAATTATTAGAATTTATAAATTGTTCTCATAAAGTTCAATACATCAATGATGACTATATTGAATAGCCAGTTAAAAGCAGTGGAGAGACATTTTTATACATCTAATCAGAAAGGAAGTTTAACAATTTTGGATGTCATAAAACTTTGTTTTGCATGTTTCATATTATTAGGTATAGCACACCAAAAATAAGTACAACAAACACATGTTATTTGATGATTGCAAATGATCAAGCTTTGTGAAAGCTTCAAAACACAAAAAACAGAATTGAAATCGGTCAATGCGTTGTGATTTTATACCATTTTTTTGAAATCGCAAAATTACCGAAAAACCTGCCAGAAATGGTCAAATTGGCAAAAATGGCAAAATTCGCCAAAGTTGACAACTTAATTCATCACTTTCTTGGACAAAAATAATAAATTAAATTATCAGACACTAAGATATCATCTTTGTGGTAAAAAATACCAAAAAGAAAATTCATATATCTATTACCGTTTTGAAAACAGAAGCCAACAAAATAAGTAATTTTTGCCATTTTTGCGAATCTGCCTAATTAATATGCGCATAATTATTAATGAATCAAATAAAAACCGAACGTGATACATCAGTGAAACCTATGTATATCAGACAGGTATGGAAATATATTTCATTTGAAATAAAGAAAAATCATGAATATTCATCATCAACATGATGCCCTCCACCTTAACGCTGTTCCATCAATGGTGTTTGGATAACGGTCTTCGCATCAACTCGTCAAAGTGCAAATCGATGAGAGTGTCCTTCTCACGGACTGAACTTCCACCTTTGCATCTTGAGTTAGATGATGCAACTCTGCAGGAAGTGAAAGAGCTCAAGCTTCTGGGTGTCATACTGCAGCATAACCTACGTTGGGACAGCCACGTTCGTGATATCCGACAGGAAGGGCATCGCGAAAATTCTACATCATTCGGGCCCTGAAGCGTTATCGCGCCCCTGTGGAAGATCTTCTCACAATTTACACGTGCTACATTCGACCTGTGCTTGAGTACTGTGTTCCAGTTTGGAATTCATCCATAACATCTGAACAGGCCAATGATATCGAGAGAGTCCAGAGAAGAGCCCTCCGTATCATTTTTCATGATCGATACCACAGCTATGAACATGCCCTCCAGATTTCAGGTCTACAATCCCTCTCTGACAGAAGGGAACATCTTTGCCTAAGGTTCGCAGAATCGCTCTACAAGCACTTTCGCGACTGGCTTCCAGAGATGCAGACCACGAATCGACGATTGAGATACAGTGAAAGATTGAGAGACTTTAGATGCCGAACAGAAAGACTGAGAAATAGCACTCTTCCTTACTTGGTAAGGACTCTGAACGAACATTTTTTCTGATACTAATAATTTTGTATGTTTGATACTCACTCTCCTGTAATATAGAGTGTAATGCACTCCTTGTGGGAAGTATTTGCCAGTAATTGTGCAATAGGTATTTAATCATTGAAATTTTTTAATCAATTTTCAATTATTTCATATTTAATTGTGAATTAAAATTTATATTAATAGCATTGAATTTTAAAGGTAAAGACCAGTAATGGTCATGCGATTGCATTGTGAAAGAAACGTTGTGGAATCGATCAGAAAAGGTTGATCATCTAGTATCTAGCATCTGCAAGGTTCTGGAATCATCAAAATGATAAGAAATTTGGCCCATTCTTCGTAAAGTTACAAGCACTATACACAGAAAGATGTATATGGGACTACCCTATCTCTCTCACACGACCATGAGAGAAATAAATTTACCAAATATATGAATTAGTAGGCGGTTTCCCGGCAATTTTTTTATCATCATGTATTAGTCAAAACATATTCTTTCACATGATTGGTAATGAGAGCTTCCATTTCATTTTTTGAAATTGGGGCGTTACCAATACTGGTCTTTACCTTTAAAGAACGAGCAATACTTGAATATGAATGAAATCACACCGATCACCTAGTATTTAGCCAGTGCAATATGTGTATTTTAATTTTTTTAAATTATCAACAAATTTCAATATTCTTCGCGAATTTTCAATGTAATTCACTTTATTTCTTAATCCATCATGAAATTCAATTCCAATATTTCCGATATCATGTTTTACCAATGACACAAAATCAACCCTTCGGCATGCCAAATTCGTAATGTATGGTTTTAATGATTAATTTCAATAGTTTGTTTTTAGAATGTTTCAGTTAATATTGTCTTGCTTATTAATTGAAATTAATAATAGTTGCCATAATAACTGTCAGTTGATCACTTTTATTTGAATTTCAATGTTGATTGCGTAGACTGCTTTAATATATTATTGTATAATTGCTTTTATTATGTATATACATTGTAAACTGTTGTAACCATTGTAATTCAGTCTTTGGACTGCGAGAATGGATAATTATCAATAAAATCCTTCAATCAATCAATATATGCAAATTAGGTCATTTCAGCTAATTATATATTCGCGCACTCATTATGCAAATTAGGAAAGTCAAACTGTTCATCTTTTTGGCATTTTTTAAATCATATATTCATAGATCATATTTACACCAAATATTAACCTAAAATTCAAAAAAAACATTTGCAATGCTAATAAAATATGGCGATGGAAATTACTTGCATCACCGTCACAGCTATTTCCTCATGTGTTTCAATAATTATTAAGAAAAACCGATCATATGATAAGAATTTGTAGACTTCCAGCTACATCACATTTTCACATCACATCACATCACAGGCTATTTAAAAAAATGTGAGAAACCATTCAACAGGCCGTAACATTTCACAGGGACTGAATTTCAGAGTACCAAAAAGTTTGGTGGCCCCAGTACAGTTGTGGATACCTTGAGTGTAAATAACAAATTGATTCAATGAGTGAAACACATGAGGATATTGCATTTTTGTAGGGGAGTTTTATACATTGAGGTGCATTTTCACCACGCAGAATAGCAGTGCGAGTCAATGGGTGATCAGCGGGCAATGTCACACATGGCTGAAAAGACAATATTCTAATTAAATAATTTCACATATATCCCACATGCCTATAACAATGAATCTACACAGAATTGTAGTTAAAGGCATGCTTGAAATATATGTAAAATTAAAATTAAAAAATATTGTTTATTTTTTTAAAAATAAATTTACAAAAATTGCTATTTCTACCAACTGACTGCTGTTGTGTGTGTGTGTTCGCGGGGCAGACTGTGTGCACAGGCAGTGTGATCACCCTAATATTATTGTACTCTGTTTCTTCTACTATTGTAATGCTGGTGGGAAGCATATTTCCACATTGTGGACGAAATTAATCAATATCAATATCAATATTAACTGTCCTTTTCCCTTTTGAACAGTGCTTATTTTTCCTTTCTTCATAACACGCACCCCTAATTCAAGGCGATTTCGAGTCCCTTTTTCTTTAATTTTTCCTAAAGCTCGCTCGCTACGCTCCCTCGCATTTATAAATGTTATAATTATGTTACTTATAAAAGAACTTTTCAGTCTTTCTTCATTAAATTGTGCTTGATACCCATCAGGGTTTGTTTTTTGTCTTCTTTATATGATGTAATTTTTCGCACTGGGACCTCACATATTTTAGAATTTTGGCTCGCTCGCTTCGCTCGCTCGAAAATGAATATTCAGACCATTACACCCAAATGCAAAGAATGTTGCTTAATTAAGCTGTATCTTGTACCATGTAAAGAAACAAACAAATATTGATATCATCCCTGGTAGTGTAATCATGACGATGTAGGGGTATACAGTATATACCAATGTCTAAAAATGGGGTATGTTTTTTGGATGTTTCCCGTTGTAGGTGCCCCTTTTTCCCAGAAAGTGCCCTTTTTGGTTGTTGCCCCCTTATTCTAGAAGACGCTACGCCGCCCCTGCATCATGCTACTTGGTGGTGATGCGGATTATGTTCCGACCCAAAAAAAAGTTTTTGCTCATTACGCCACTGGTGGGAAGTATATCAATTGAATGAATTACAAATCAGGAGGTTTCTATTGGACATTTTAACTATAGATACTTCATCATATACAAATCCGCACTACAAACAGTGGAGGTTACGCTGTTACGCGTGTGGACGTAATAAATGTTGACACTACTTTGACTTGAACAGTTTTGCAGTTTAAAACTTTGTATACCAGTTGTTTTTGTCCAACGTGAACCTCCATCATTATTAGTGAATCATGCTTTATGACATCAAGGTTTTTGCAAAATTAACAGGGACGATCTGATCTCGTATGAACACAGCCAATGGCTGTTCTCCCAATCTTGTTCATATGTGGTTTAAACACGGCTCCAAGGATGACATTAAAGTTAGCTTCATGAGAGAGTAATCATCTGAATACCAGCAATAAAATATATACACAATACGTTATCACCGACCTCCCTGTCACATGACTCGATCAGGTCACATGACCAAAGGCCTTGATACGATTGCTTAATTATAACAAGCAAAACAATAATCAGCTAAACTTGGATTTAAGTCACCACATCATTATTCCTAAGTTAAAATTTCCAAAAGTCAAAAGTAAATCAAAAAATTGTGTGGAGGGTTGGAGGTAGACTATTGCCAAATTTAATTTTAAATAAAAACTTACCTTTTTTCTTCTTCCATATTTCTTCTTTGTAGGGAGGAATGAATGCCTGACAAACAACGGTGGCTGCAACCATACGTGTCTTGACCTTGCCATCGGTCATGTGTGCACCTGCAATGCAGGCTACGCTCTTGTGAATGAGACACAGTGTGTGGACATCAACGAATGCAAGACCACACTAGGTATCTGCAGTCAACGGTGCTACAACCTTCCGGGATCCTACAATTGTGACTGTGATGAGAACTATACCCTGGAGCACGTCAACGGCCGTGGGCACTGCAAGGCCAATCCGGAGTTTGGTGTCCCAAAGCTTCTCATTGCCAACCGACAAGACATCCGCAGCTTTGACCCTAGTACATCTTCTGAAGATTACATCGAGAGGTCTCTCCACATTGCGGTGGCTATTGAATTTGATTCAGCATCAAATACCGTCTTCTGGACAGATGTCGGACTCGAAGAAGTGGCCAAGTAAGTAAAGGAAAATAACATTTTCTGCAATATCTGATACAATACATGTGTTTAAAATGAAGGTCATAAAGGATTCTTTAGGATCAGCTTGGAATGCCCTTTTTGTGAACATCAATAACAATATTAAATGATTTTATGTGGTTCGATGGCATAGTGATTTAATACTCCTCTTTTGATCTTATTACAGAACCCAGCTGCAAGCAGAGAATGAAGTAGAACCTGTGATCGTGACTGACAATGTGAAGACTCCTGAGGGTATTGCTGTGGACTGGATCAACAAGCTCCTATACTGGACCGACACTGGCATCGACAACATCGTTGTGTCCAATTTTGAAGGCACCCGGCACACCGTTCTGATCTCCAGCAACCTTGACCAGCCCCGAGCCATCGCTGTGGACCCAGAGTCTGGTCTCATGTTTTGGAGTGACTGGGGATTAGGGGTGATCGAGCGTGCTGGCATGAACGGACAAGGACGCACCGCCATTGTGACCGAGGGCGTGTCTTGGCCCAACGGATTGACCCTGGACTACACTCTTGATATGCTCTACTGGACCGACGCCAAGGAAAGCAGCATCAGTTGCGTGGATTTCATGGGTGGAAACCGGCGAGTGGTAGTGGCTGGACAGGATCGTATCTCCCATCCATTCAGCATTGCTGTCTTTGAAGATTACATCTACTGGACGGACTGGACCAAGGAGAGCATCGAACGGGCTGACAAGTTCACTGGCTCTAACCAGACAACTATCCTCTCTGGAGTATCAGATGCCATGGATGTCATCGTTGTTAATCCTCTCAGACAGGCTCCTCGTAAGTATTATTTCCTCTTCCACGAGTTCATATTTTACTTTCAGCTTTTGAATATTGCCAATGCAACCTTTTTAACGATTTGTTGTTCTTGTTAAAATGTATTGTTCATAGGTTTTATTGAAAGTCCGACTTTTTATCTGTCAAGACACACACATTTAGATCGATGTGTAATTTACGTGGCACTCTGTTCTTTGTTTACCAACAGCTGCAGGGGAAGTGCCATGTGCCCAAGACAACGGAATGTGTTCCTACCTGTGCGTGGCTTGCCCTCGGGTTAATGGTCCGGCTGACTACTCATGTCTCTGCCCTGTTAATGTATCGCTCACCGCTGACGGACACACATGTGAAGGGGATGAGCCAACCCCAAGTGTCCCTCAACCTTCTGTGCTTTCCACAGCCCTTCCACCCACCACCACCACCCTACCTCCTGTCAGACCCTCTAAGCTGACCATGGCTACTACACCAAAGATAGTCGAGGAGACACCGACGATTGTCGCGCTATTCACCGCAGGCGGAGGAAATGTGGTTACATCTAGCTTATTGGCCAACACCCACACGATAGTAGCTGTTGTCATCGGTATCATCCTGGTACTACTTCTCGTCGTCCTCCTTATCTTCTTTGTGCTCTACAAGTGAGTTGAGCTTCATTTTACCAGCCATTAAAAGCATTCTTATTTCAAAGTATAGTGATGATCCTGTAGTACATAATGGTCAACAACTTGGATAGGATTACTCCATGAATCTATTTCCCAAAATGTATTTGAATGCATAAGTAAAATGTGAATTGCAGCTAATGCATTGAACTAACGGAATTTCTTAAAAGTAACTTCTCTGATATGATTACCCAATGAATCAGATACAAGTAGAAAAGGAAAATTCAACTATAGCTTTTTTGTATCATGTTCATAATTTGTCTTAATATTTGAGTTAAAGGTCTAGTAAGATTATTGGTTAACAACGTGCTTTCTTCTGCACTTTCAGGAGGCACTCCAACCACAAGAAGAGGACAAGGAACTCACAGTTAATGGTGGTCTTTAATGGATAGGATCCAATACCGGAGTAAGCCCGCTGAAGCTGTCCGGGACCTAGGGGTAGTCATCGACAAACATCTATATCTTCGTCGCCACATAAATTTGGTGTGTCGCAGAGCTTCGTTCGCCTTAAGAAGAATTGGTGGTATTCGCCGTCTCCTTAACCAGAAGACAACAGAAATACTGATCCATGCGTTTGTCACATCACTGCTGGACAACTGTAACAGTCTTCTCTTCGGCGTGCCGGACAAAGACATTTCCAAACTCCAACGAATTCAGAACTCTGCCGCCCGTCTTGTATCTATGTCAAGTAAATACAATCACATTACTCCCATCTTAAAGGAGCTCCATTGGTTACCTATTCCCGTACGCATTCACTACAAAGTTATCCTGCTCACATTTAAAGCAATCCATGGTCTTGCTCCTACTTACCTATCCTAGTTGATAGCCCAATATCTACCAACCAGATCACTCTGATCTGCCTCGCAAAATCTGCTAGTTGTAAATAGAAGCAGAACCAAATCTTTTGGTGACAGGTCGTTTGAATGTGCTGCACCAACCCTTTGGAACTCTCTTCCTAGCACTCTACGTGCTCAATCAAGCATAGACATATTCCAGAAAGAACTCAAGACATATTTGTTCAACATTTCCTTTTAATTTTGTACTGGTTCCAAAGGGTTGGTGCAGCACATACCATCTTTGTGACTGACTGAATGCTGATGTTTATTTATCTATTCATATTTATATTGTTGTATTGGGCCTTCCCCACCATTATAATAATTTTCAAATATTACATGTATCACCTTTAATAGAAGCTACTTTCGATTTTTCTAATGTATAACGTATGTCTTCTTACTTGTAAGCATTGATTATAATTATATGTAATTATTTTTATATGTCTTTATTTCTATTGTCTTCTACATTTGTAAAGCGCATTGGTATAATTAAATGCGCTATATAAGAGCTAACTATTATTATTATTATTATTAAAAGACTTCAATGTAAATTTACGTGAATGAATTGAAAACAAATTATATTCAAGTTGCAGTTCCAAATGCGAAGTGATGTAAAATATTGATTTAAATCTGATATTGCCGAATATTTTCATAATTTTCTTTTTGTTCTTAAAGATGTACTGCGTGAAATTTTCTATAATTGGGATGATACAATTACAGTGCAGCACATGTAAATATGTTAAAAAGCGTAATGAATTATCCAGCCTCAAAAATGGACATAATATAACAATATTTTGTTGGTAATGCCAAAGATGGGACAAATCAAATCTTGATTATTGGGAAATGAACTCAGCAATATTGAGGTGTAGTGATCACATTAGTCTTGTTCAGACTGAGGCAAGTTACCCTGGTGTAAAGGTCGTGTGAACAGCTAGTCGTGGTAAATATGGTGAGGTGGGTGTAAAGGTCGGAGTAGTGACCGTCTGAACAGGGACATTTCCCTGGTCTGAACGACGATCGTGTTAGCTACAACTACCTTTACCCCGGCCTATTTGCTCCTGGACAAATCCAGGAGTAACTCGCTAAAGCCCCCATCACACCAAACTAGTTCTCACTACGTTTTTGGAACCGGGGGGGTAAGCGGACACTTTTTTTTGGGGGGGGGGGGGGAGTCCAAAAAAAAATCGCAACGCCTCAGCCAGCCGAAAAGTCGCTCAGTGGGGGGGGGGGGGGGGGGGGGGGGGGTAAGCGGACACTTTTTTTGGGGGGGGGGGGGGGAGTCCAAAAAAAATCGCAACGACTCAGCCAGCCGAAAAGTCGCTCAGTGGGGGGGGGGGGGGGGGGGGGGGGGGGGGGGGGGGGGTAAGAGGACACCTTTTTTTTTTGTCTCGAAATTTGAAAATTTGACATTTTGCTCCGTTGGGGGGGGGGGGGTAAGGTCACCTTTCTTAGGTCAGCTAGGGGGGTATTTTTTTTTTTTTTTTTTTTTTTTAATAATTAAAAAAAAAAAAAAAAAAAAATCCAAAGGGGGGGGGGGGGGGTTTAGGGATTTTTTAGGGGGGTTTACATACATAAAAATACCAAAGGGGGGGGTTTAACCCCCCAAACACCCCCTGCGTACGCGCCTGGGGAAGGGTGCTCTAAAACTTTGAGCCTGTTCAAAATTAATTATGATTTAACTTGTTTTAATTTATGATCGAATTTGATATTTCTTTTATTCCTTACAAAAAGCCTTTGATTCATCATTCCTGGACCGACAATAAAAATGATTGATTCTTACTGTCTGAATGTTACTGTGGTCTTTACGAAAAGTGGCAATCTATATGTTAAAACAATCAAGCCTAAACGGATAGTACCAAACGCACATGTGTGAGAGAAGCAAGCGTCACACTCTTAGGTGAGTGAGAACGCTCAAAGTGGTCCAGGAAGCGGACTTCTGGACCGCTCCAGAAGTCCACCTTGCGAGGTGGTCTTGAGGAGCGGGTCTTATTAAGAGCGCTCCAGAGCGCTCTAACGTGCAATGTGAACGGAAAGCGTACTTTGAACGGAAGTGAGCTAATGACCTTCGATGCGAAACATGTAGTACGGTACATACGGTTTGGATTCCGCGCGCGAAAAAATTGACCCGCCTACCTGAGCTGCCATAGCAACAAGACCACTTTGACTCGTGGAGCGGTTTGAGCCATAAAAACTGCTCGGAGTGTGAACGCTCGCAAACCGTTCCTCAAGACCCGTTCCTCTGGAGCGGTCTGGAGCGGTCTAACTAAGACCACTTTCAAAGTGAGTGAGAACGGGGTCCAAGATAGACGCGAAGCTCACCGTCTAAGCTGTTTCCACAAAATGTTACATGGCCAGCTGGACATAGATGCCCAAACACACATTAAACCTTAACCAGATCGTAGCAGACGCGGGCACTCAAGTCAGTTCGAAATACCATTAACCAGATTAGATGTATACAAAAACTCTTCTTTTTTTTCCACGCACAACCAGAGCATGGAATGATCTCGATTCGACATTAGTATCCCTGACTGACTCAGCAAAGTTTAAAGTAGCACTCCTTCCGAAATAAGTCCACCCTCTGCCACCTCGACCTCCAGTTTAAATTCCACTAGGAATATTTTGGAGGAACAACAACCAAGTACCAAGTACCAAGTACCAACTCTCCATAATTTGCGTGTCATAATGTCTTGCTATGTTGTTAACCTTTATTACATTCACACTCTGGTGACAAATGAGGCAAAGTGGTTTACCTTTCTCTTTTATGAAGAAATACTTCAGAGACCAATTTGATTTAAAGTTTCTGCCTTCATCAGAAACTTTCCTTTTCTTCGCAGGTCTTGAAGTCGATGCCATGTTGGTTGTTATTTCAAACAAAATCAAGGAATAATATCCTAACTTTATAAGTTGTACAATGTATACCTTATTGAACGCGGTGTAAAGGGAAGGGGAATATCCAGGTTACGATTAAGATTCATGAGAAAATTGAACAGCGGGACAAAAGGGTTGTAAGTTTCAAGACAAGCATGGCATTTCAAACATATTTTTCGATTCACAACATGTATATTTACAAACGTTACTGCGTGCGAGAATTACAAACTGAAATTAACACGGCGTTAATGTATGAGAGCCAATATCTATGTTGTGAATGATGAAAACAAAAGAAATGCAGATAGCCAGGGGACCTCGAGGGCCGCTGGTTGGCCACCCGTGCTCTTGTCTGTTCGTTTGGCAATAGGACTAACTGTCTTCACCAGAACAGTATCCAGACGTTGTGTATCCGGACAGTTTGACATTTTAAACTGTTATTTGAAGAAGCATACTCGACAATATTATAAAGGGCATATATTAAATGATGTTAAATCAAAAGGCAAAGATGGTGGCTTTATTTTTGTTAGGCGTCCGCGGATATTCCCCCCCCCCCCTCATACTCCTGTTAATAGGGATCCGGCCAGACACATGCATAACTATCAAAGGAGTACCAAAATAAAATTTCCTATTCAAACTCCACACCACACTGGTAAACCTTATGTTAGGATTTCTTTGTTTATGGTAGAGTTTCCAAAATTCGCACACTTTTCAAGTCAGATTTTTTTTTAAATAAAAAAACACGTTTCATTCATTCCAACCATAAAAGACACATTCAACAGTCATAAAGAGAACAATGCCCAAATTTGAGAAGATGGTTTATACCCTAATATTAGGTAATTTAAAATTCCCCCATCCCGCACTACTTGTGGATGATGGTAATAATGAGGATGATACTGATGATGACGATGATTATAAAAATGATAATGATGACAAAGAAGATGATGATGATGCTGCCGATAGTGATGATGGCGATGATGATGAATTGAAAATGATTGATAATGAAGATGAGAATTAATGATGCTTGTCAAAGACTTTGCGAGTGCGCGCATCTTTGAGCAGACAATTTGGCGCGCTGTCTGGTATGCATTTTAAGTGATGCTGAACGCGCATCAATAAATTGGAGACATTTAACGGTTTTCTTTTTGAAAAAAATAATTTGTCTAAGGCTTAGGGAGTATTACTGCTTTTGATATTGAAGGTCTTCATTTTCACATTTTTGCGTAATGGTGAGTGCATCTTTTATTTATTTCTTCTTTAAAGAACTGTTATTCTTGTGATAATTATAATACCAAGACGTCGTGTGTCCGGACATTTGGTTAAAACAGTAATTTGAAGAAGTTCATAGTCTGGTCTAGACTAGATCTAGAGTCTAGATCTATGCATTATTTCACAAATATTTCAAGAGTTATGTTACTGTTAGAAAATATTAAAAAGGACAAATATTCATGATGATTGATGCTATTTGGTGAATACATTCCGTTAAATCAGAAGGCAAAAGAGAAGAATTTATGTTTTTCTAACTGTAAAGACATGGAACAACCTACAACAAGCAACCATCGACCAAACCTCCCCGCTCTCATTTAAAAATGCAGTTACTAAAGAACTTTTTTCCAAAATGTAATCGTCCACCCTCCCCCACCTCCAGTCAAAACTCTTCTTCGGAGTATTTAGGAGGAAAAGAATCCAAGATCCAAGACACCCAACCACCATCAAATAGATCTAGTCTAGCACCCCCCCCCCCCCCCCCCCCCCCCTTTCAGCATAAGTCCGGTGTGTAAAGTCAATACGGGTAGATCTAGATCTTTTTCTTTGTTACGAGCCGGAGATTTTGGGAACACGCATGCGGTCCCTCCGTTCCCGGAGTTGGGGGTGGGGGCGGCCTCCATCATAAGCTTTGGGAAATATTGTATAGACCTAAATTGATGGGAGTTGTGTGTCCGGACGCTTAAAAATTTAATCCCGTCACTTTTGCCTTTAAAAAAATATATATATAGGTCTAGACTCTAGGTCGAGATTAAATCGAATAGCACCATAATTATAATCATAAAAAGTCGTCCTTTATGATATTGTTTAACATAAGTCTTGATAAATTAATTGCTGGTTTAGATCAACTGTCCGGATATATCATGGGTGCCATCCTCAATATAGACCTAAGTTAGATATATTCTGTTTATACACGGTGTGTGTCTGGACGGTAATTTGAAGATGTTTACAAGCAGTATGTCATAAATCTTTTAAGACTTATGATAGGCAATAATACAAAGGATGCATTATTGAAATGGTAAGTGCTATTATATGCATACCTTTCGCTAAATCTGATCTAGGTAATTATGAAGAATTAAATCTTTTCATCTGGTGCAATCTCTAATAATAGTTTAGCGAATGTTTCATGAAACTAAAAAAAAGTCTCTAACTGTACCTTCTTCTTTTTTGCCCATTTATTTCTCTAGTTTTGTTGCAGCAATCAGGCTATGGTTGGCGTCTTCAGGCCAACAAAACTGCATTTTAAAGAGAGAGCGAAGAGAATACAGACAAAACGAAAGACAAAGCGAAATTATAGCATTCAAGGTAAACAAAATATTTTAAAAAACTCGAAACGTACAAGATCGAGTTTTGTGGAAAAATTATGTTAGTAACAAAAGCGATATTTCAACATTCTCAGACAACTCCTAAATCTTTTTACTTTTTCACTTTTTTTTTTCTTTGTACCCCATTTCATGTATCTCTTTATCATGATATCTTTGACTTTAACTGATATTTTCGTATAAATGATGGATGTGCTCCTTCAATGAGTTTGAATAGTTATGACTGGAATGAAACTAGAATAATTTTACTAGATATCGTTGTTATCGCATTTTGGAAACATCATTCTCCGTTGTAATTGCTAATAATCGTATATTTAATAGTGGATTCCTTTCAGAGTTTTTCATGTGTGCCTGATCTTCTACTTACAACAAAAAGATGCAAGAGAAGTTCAAAGAATTTTTGGAGAACAGTATTTAATGAAAAAATAACACACCACAATTAATTCTTCTTCTTTGAGGAGAATAATCATTTCATAATTGACAAACAGAAATCACTACTTCACTGCATCAGGAAACCAATATTATACTGAATGTTATTCTCTTTGTAGTTAATACTGAAAATCGTTATCTGCTCTTTGTCTCGCTTATTCACCAGACAATGACATCATCTCATCTGCTGAGCTAACCAGTGACAATGGTGCAATCCTCTCGGATTTATCATGCTGTTTGTCTCCATCTCTTGACGACCTACCGGATGAATTATTGGTGAAGATCATCGGTTTCATACACCCTCTCAGCAAGACGTTTGCTCATCTGCGAGGAACGTCAAACAGATTGAATGACGTCATTCAAACGTCATGCTTGTTTAAGGTATAACGAGAATAGGAATTGAAATTTACAAAAATGATTTGGAAAAATGTGGACATTTTAAATCAGATTGCCACTTTGCATTCGATTCTTTGCATGTGAAATCTCTTTCTTTTTCTTTTTCTAATCGTAACTGCAAATTAACCTCATGAGAGCCAGTGGCATAGCGGTGAAGACCACCCCGCCCCCTCTCACACATCATCAAATTGTGAAAAGAAAGAAATAAAGAGAGAGAGGCAGAACAGGGAGAAAGAGAGGGAAATGAACGTGAAAAGAAGACGACACAGCCCCTAAAAGATTTCCAGGATTTGAAATATGAATTTGAGTTTAAATTTGAATTTATTTATAATGATACAAAAGATTGTAATGGCGCCAAATTAATTTGACAATTAAGGCTCAAGGCGCAGCTTGTGCAAAAGATTAATAATAAATAAATACAAAAATGCAATAGGAAAGGTACAGACATGAAAGGTAATGTAATCAATTATAAGCTAAATTAAACAGATATTTTTAAGATTGTTTTTTAACACTTCGTCAGAACTGCTATTTTTAATCCATTAAGAGAGAGTATACACAGAAAACAAACTATATAACATATTACATCTAGAAACAATATTATAGAATTGCAATAGTTTAGTTACATTATTGAAAATTGAACAAATTTGATAATTTGGATGTCATTAAAGGTATAACAAAAAAGTGATTAATTCTGTGTGACATTTAAAATTGAAATAGTTGTTCTTTTTAAAATCATTATTGCCGCTGCAACTCTCAGCATTCTTGTTCTGCCTTCTACCATGTTACATCTCTTCCTGTCCTAATGTCTATAATCTTCACCACCAGACGACATCGATCGACCTCTCACGTAACCGTCCCTTCGACTTCGACGTCCTCTCATCGACCACGGCCCGCTCAACCACCTCCCTCACCACACTCAACCTCTCACACTCCGATGACGTCAGTGATTACGTCATATATCAATTGGCCAGAACGTGTGGTCAGTTGAGGACATTGGATGTATCTTACTGTCCATTGCTGACCAACTGTGGTCTGCGTGTGCTAGCTAACCTGGTCAAACTGGTCAGAGTGGACATAAGTGGATGTCCAAACATCACCTGTCGAGGGGTATACATGCTCGTCAAGTAAGCTACTTCTCTTCAGCATGTTGTATGTTCTTTCTTTGAACAATTTTCGATTATCTGTTAATTATCAGTTTATTTATTTATTCAATTATTCATTTATACATTCATTTATCCATTTATTAATTTAATTTATCTATCTTTTCATCTATTTATGAGGTCATTTTATTTATTTGTTTGTTTATTTATTGTTGTTGTTTATTTTCCTATTGCTTTGGACAATATCGTGAATAGATGTAAATAAGTACAATATTACGTCATCATCTTTAGGCCTCGTTTGCCGGTATATACAAGATATGTCAGCAGGATCTCCTAATTAAAGACAAAAGCAGATTTACGAGAGACATGCAGGGTGAAAATGAACAGCAATTGGAGCCAAGAAATGGTCTTTTGATAGTTTAGGACCTCTTTAAAATTTAAAATTTTAACTAAAATCCTTCATTGGTTGTCACTTAGTATGAAGTGTTTCGCTGGATGAGTAAAACAGAACGATTACCTCCTATTCAGGATGATATAATTGATAGTTGAATGAATGAATGTTGGTGGTTATTTTACCTGACTGCTAAGAAAGCATAAATGCTTGGTAGTAAGCAACCAGATGGCCGACGGCTTAAGGTCCTCTCCGAGGGACCTGGTAATGAGGATTAATGCCTTACCAAAGGGCACTAGCGCATCGACTTGGTTTCGAACTCGGGTCACCGGATTACGAGACCACTGCTCTACCGACTGAGCTATATCTACCGACTATAGATACATTATTTGAAAATTTTACTTTGTTTGACATCCTCCGCCATTTCTGCTTTTCTTCGACAGGTGGAGCGCAGATAGCCTGGAGGAGCTGATCATGAACTCGTGCCTTGGTCTTCGTAATGACCCACACAAACTGCTTCATATATCCACACATGGGAGCAGACTGAAACGACTTGAGATGGCATGGCACCAGAGACTCGTTAAGATTAACCCCCTCACTGTCATTGATCTAGACAGGTTCGTACTATATAGCTGATGGTTGATGTGATTGTTATCCGGGTTCATATTTGTGTGGATTCGAGGTCTATACCTGTCGTTAACATCAAGGGTTTTCTACTGACACTACTTCAGAATTACTTACAGCCATTATGCTGCTCACAATATCGACAGCCATGTCCCACAATACATCACCAACTGCATGGTGCTTGGGTACAGGAACCGGTAGTTACTCTATGTACGTCTCCACCGAAAGATGGTGCAATTAAATTCCTGACGTGATAAAAAACGGATTATCTTACTACGTGTGATGACATTTTTCGCAAGTTGGAATAACTTTTATAAACTTTTCCCGAGATATAGACTTTCAGGTTGTTCCTTTCCGGGGCAGACTGAGACTTAAATTTGGTTAGAGAATTTCGATGCGACTGGCCCAATCAAACTATAAGTCCATGCTCTGTTCGACCGGCCCTCAGACAACAATACTGACCCTCAAGCCAAAATATCCATCAGCCCATGGGGATAATTCACCATTACCAGTCCGCCCCTTGTGTCTTTGTCAATATAACAGTAAGAATGTTGAATATGTTGCCATCCCAAGCAGGCAAGAGTTTTCGTGAGGCCTTTATAGCATCACAATAATTTTCAACTGATATCTTTCAAAGATGAGTGAAGAAACAAGATAAGATCTACATTTTAAAATGAAAGATACATTTCGATTCTCTTGTACAGTATACCACCTTCAATGAAGCGTATAAATTGCATGCCTTTTAAAAATGTATGTACATTATTATCAATACCAAAATGATCATAACTTCATTTTGTATAAACCAAACTCTCCCTCCCAACATCTGATGCGTTATTCGTGAACCTACATTATATTTCTTCTAAAGTTATTTATTTCTCCGTTTCCTGTGGATTCAGATTAACAGAGCATCTGAATGATCTCCTTCACTTGGACATTAGTCATAGTGGATGCAGTGATGAGGATATGGAAGCCATCATGATGAACTGTACGAAGCTTGTTACACTCAAGGCTAGAAACTGCTGCATTCATGTAAGTTCACTCGTACTGAAATATTTACAAGCCATGATTAATGATTAAAGAATAGCTCTATATTATTGATAAAAAATAATTTTGTTGTAACCTCTAAACTAGTAAACGAATCTTGGAGACACAAAGGCCTGAATTTACAAAGGAGGTTTGTCGACATACCTAGATTTATGTACGTCATATGACGCGTTTCAATGCGTTTGAGACCAGACAAAGATTCAGACAAACCTTGGTCAGAAACGCGTCGAAACGCGTCATATCACGCACATAAACCTTGGTTTGTCGACAAACCTCCTTTTTGAATTTGGGCCATTGTGTTTCCTTCCTCTCTGATATATAGCCCATTCAGAATAACTGTATACAAAACTCGATTAAAGAAACGACCTTTAATTTTTTTATTTTTTTTTAAAATCATCGTTTCGCGAAAGGAGTGGACAAACTAGTGAAACTGTGAAAGTGACTTTATTTTACTTTTCTACGCCTCTCCCCAATAATTTTACATTCATCTCCCCACCCCCTGCCCCTCCCCTCTCCCCCTTTATATTTTCCTTTTGCAAGGTTGTTATTCGTCATTCTCACTTTTTGTCTTTATTTTTTTTCCAGGGTGGGGTGCCTCATATTGCCATGAAGTTTTGATAATTATCAAAGAGCGTCGTGGGTGTCATGGGTGAAGTACGCCCCAATTACTATTTTCTTTCAGTTATTGTCATTTGATAGGTATTAGTTGATTAGTTAAATGAAAAACAAAAATGAATTGCATTGTAATTTATTTTAAATGTTTCTTTCTGTGATCAGGACATTGGGTTGAAACGCATCGGTGAATGGCTACCAAGCCTGACTCATCTCGACATCGCTGACTGTCACGACATCACCGACAGAGGACTGGAATTCATCGGACGTGGTTGCTCACTCCTCGAACACGTCGACGTGTCACGGTGTTTCGACATCATTGGTCCTGGTGTCGACATTTTAGCGAGTGCTTGCCTTCATCTTCACACGGTGATCGCCCGGGAATGTTTTGACATGACGTCGGCTACAATCAACTACATCTCACTCCACTGCAAACACGTCCGACATCTTGACGTCGCCTTCAACCTCTGCGTTACTAATGAAACGATGTCAGGAATCGCGGATGACCGTGGTCCCGATGAGCCTTTGGTTGTCGTCACAGAAGGATGTCCTAATGTTCGTGGTCGTCACAGAGGAAAAGGTCTGGAACCCGGTGATCAACATCGCTTTCGATTTGTCGATTGGAAGGGAAAGGACAATGATGATTTCGTCATCTGGGAGACATCTGTTTGACCCTTGACCCAAATGTCGTTACCAAGCTTACTCTCATGGGCGTGGTCACGAACTGTGTATCTACGTCATGAAAGCAGTTATTGTGCGTGCGTTCCTTGATTTCAGGGAAGGCATCAGAATGGTCTGCAATCCATGCCTCTCTTTTGAACTTGAGTATGTATTATAGCCACGATTAGATTATTCAATACTAAATCTCAATACGTATACCTTTGATTGATCCCTTCATACCAAAGACATGTTATCGATGTTATCAATAATCAAAGACAGAAAAACCGGGAAAAAACGAAGATTTGATGAGATGGAAGAGAAAGAAAAAACAAGGAAGGAGGCAGAAGTGACGAATGCCTAAACAAAAACAAGAAAACGAGTTATGAGATTGCTACGCCAAAGAGAGATAATCTTTCCCTTTATGACATGTGAGTCGAAAGAACTGTAGCTATAGGGGGAAAGGAATCACAGATCAAGTCATTCATTCGCAAAGTCCGAAATTAAATGTTATCGATTTGCTATAATTTTGTTGATCAATGGCGATATATCAAGTATTCTAAGAAAGGTTAGAAGATTATTTCGATAAAATAATCAGGGTTGTATATTTGACAGTATTTAAAATGATAATTTAAATCACGTAGTAACCATCTGAAATATATTGTGATTTCTTTTGGGAGATGGGAATATGTTGTTTATTTTTTTTTTTTTAACCATGCTAAATATTTATTGGATTTCCAGTTGTAGTTCATTTTCATGTTAACTTTCAAGACGACCATACACTATAAGTAACCACCAAACTTGATTGGATTTTTGGAATCGGCTACAACTCGGTGGACAGGAAGTTGATGATTTGTGCATCATGTAGTTTTATTTTAAATAATCTTAGTTTAATTTTAAATAATCTCTATCACCGCCTTGAAATAAAAATCGATGTATTCTTTCGTAATGTCTATATTCGTATCATCTGGAGAGCGAGTGAGGGCGTTCTAAATAATGATTGGCAGGGGGGTTCAACTCCGCTTCTGCATCCGTCTAGCCATGGGGAGATTTTGGAGGGTCAAAAGTGCACGCTGCTTCCACTTATCGTGTATTAGCCTATGAAGACGACAAATGTTTAGTGCACCAGCGAAATGGGGATTTTGGACTACGGAGGACATACTGTGTATGATCGAATCTCTTTGATGATTGGAGTCCTGGGCCCCCGTCTTATAAAGAGTTGATTTCAAGTGCAACTATGTACTTCAGAGATAGGGGACTGTAAACTTCCGATTGATCACAGGACTAGCGATTGGATCAATCGCAACTGTTTATAAGACGGGGCCCAGAAGTTATTCCGAAGGACCGGCTAGTCATGCCGTTCGACGTATAGGTGTAAAGGCCGCACCAAGTTCATCGGGCCGATTTTAGTCCCGCCCCCATGCGGTTTTGATAAATCGATGTGTAAGCTCAATTGCAAATGATTAATTTGTTCACATTGATTTGAATAAGTCTATACGATGATATTTCTGTAAATATTGACTTTGATATTCCCCGTAGGCGATTAACATTGAAGGCATCAGATTTAAGATATTTCGATAGTGTGACAAAGAACGAAAGGAAAATTCAGTAATTAAAGTAATGTACAATTTATTAAATGATACTTTAACTGATACTTGTGTTTTGAACATAGAATATATATTTTATTATACAATATTATAGAAATTCGTATATACACAGTATAAAATTGTTCTTTTGATTATTCTTTACTTTGCATGAACATGATTGTGACGAATATCAACTGCTCTAATAAATATGTAAATGTCATAAGGAAATTGTGGAGTGACCTTTCTTAAATGGACATTAACGGAAATCAGGATAAGATACTGGGTTCGCATTTTACCCAAAAAATGAATGTTGTTTGCGTCGTAACATAAAAGAGTGGGTCATGTGAAGTGCACAACAGACCGAATGCTCAGAATTCACAAATTTGTCTTAAAACGGATATAAATCTATATAAAGCAAATTCATTCTTAATGAAACATGACTGATATTTGAGATAGGAGTGACATCAGTAACGAAATCGAGTATTTAATATTATATAACAATAATATTACTTCATCACCTTTTGAAGAAAACAAAACACTGATAGATCATGTAAAATAAAGGAAATTATTGATAATGGGATTAATCCTATCTAAGGCTCAGAAGTAATTAGGTTGTTGGAAATTATTGCCACACATTAATTAAATTTCGCGGCGCTGTAGTATCAAGGGTGGGGACGGGATAGATCAGAGCTTATCTATTTAGCTCTTTCAATATTTTACATCTAAGTTTTTAAAGTCATCAAGCTCAGTAGGTTAGTGTTAACACCAAAGTCATATCAATAATTAATTTTATTCCATCATCTCAGCTGGGTGAATAAGGATTTCGAATCTTCCAACAATTTATATCAAGTCTTTATCGTTGCCACTCCCATCTATTGTGTCACGGGATGTAGATAAGACTGCATCATTGTTTCCATTGAGCGAAAGGACGGCCTGCAACGTGCGCTATCAACACAACCACTTCTTTCTTACAACTTATACTTCCTCACCACATTTAATTTGTTCGTGTCCGACTGATTCCTTTTCAACATGACGATAGTGTCCCATTGTGTCATGCTCTTCTCTTCTCTTCTCTATTCTCTCCACATACCATTGCTGGGGATTGTACCCAGATATCAAAAGTCTTGATCCTCGTGTTACTTTCTTTAAACCTGTACGTATGGAGTCCTGAGTCTCTCTGGCATGATTCCAATGTAAGTTTGCAAAACTATTTAAAATGCGATAGCATCATCATCATCATCATCATCATCATTCAAGTTTGCCTTTCTTGGACATGAATTATCGAATGGCCGTTTTGGCGCATGTTCCATTACTTGTTAAACATCAGTCAGGCGCAACGTTTGTGTTTCTTTGACTTACACCATGGACTGGTTTCTTATAACAACTCTTCTCACTGGCATAATTGAAATGACCATCAGTGTACAAGATATTGCCGATATTGGACATCCGTCCACGGAAGGCCTCTTGTAACATGAAATATCCTACGAGCGATTAAAAGTCAAAACCTTACCAGGGCTATCCTATAAGCAAAAGGTCCAAGGAAAGGTCTTGGCCACCTACATGAGATGTGAAAATGTTTGCCTTTCTGGGAATGGTCCTTTGTGGTAGCTCTTCATCCCAGTTAAGATCGAAAGTCACCATCACCTACCAGAGAACTAAACGTTCCTTAGCATCGCAGGTCCTGGAAGACGCCTTGGCACGAACAAGTTGGTTGGTTCTTCCATGGAATCTCTGAACTATTGTTCCCTGGTCCTTCCATCTCGTGCTGCTATACGTGCTGCGGGGAATGCTGCATCTGTACCTTGACATTGCCTAGCAAGATGCTGCAGGATTCCGCGATGGGATTACAGAGAGCCCGGATGCAGGTGGCCCAGAGGCTTCCGACCCAGTTGAGGATGAAGATCCAGACCCGTGAACACGGTACCACCCACCAGATGTGACAGAAGGTCAGCAAGGCTAGCTGAACACCTGCATGGCAAATAGGTATAGAAAGATGGGGAATAAGTGAAAGAGGGAGACCTTGCTAAATAGTTAAACCTATACCTTCTTAGGCCAATAAAGTTTTATCCTGAAGGCAGTGTATGTTACTGACTCGAATTCAGATTTACTTATAGTGACATCTGCTGCTCACAATGTACCGATGTGTCGACAGTCATGCCCCACAATGCATCACCAATTGCATTACCTGTATGTGATGGTGCTGGGGTACAGGAACCAGTAATCTCTCTATGTACGCCTTCACGGAAAGTTGGGACTATTGAAAAAAACTTTACAGCAGCGATAGCGATGTTGGTAAAATGGATGTGCTTCATGGAGAAAATAAAAACAGATGGGGATTAATCTGTATAAGCGAAAGGTTTCAGAGAATCGGCGCTGTAACTATGCCCTTGTGACGCCCATCTATATTCAAGTTTCGCATAAGGTAACTCGCAAAATGACAATTTACATCACTTCCTCCCCGATTTGATTTTATTCTTTAAAACTTCATCGTCACTATGGTGTACTTTTTGGAAAATGATAGTTGGAACGCCGTTGTTGTTGTTGTTGGTATTTTCACCAGCTTTTCGCCAGCTTTTCGCCATTAAAACAGTTAGACTTGTTAATGCCCCATCAGGAAATTAGAAAATCTGAGGATGATTTTTTTTAAAGTCTTCGTTGAACATTTTTGCTAACACGATAATAATGATCCGAGCCCTGCTTCTATGCAGGATGGTCTACCAATGCTCTGAGATGACTTCTGTCACCAGACGAAAGCTAGAGAGAAACTGCCAACATTTACCAATTATTAAAGCCCCACTGCACTACTTATAGCTACTTGCGCCTTCTATATAGCAAACAATGCATAATCGGTAACCATTATTGGTCCCCCATGGTCCCCCTTTTCTCATGTTAATTGAAAGCTTATTTGATGAGATAACCACCTATCAGTGACCATGCAGGGAGGTATAGTCCCTCCTGGACAAACCAGTGCAGTGGGGCTTTAAGGCATTAGAGTTATTCTTACCCCACAGCAGAGCGAGTGGAATGGCCAGAGCAGCTGAGAGTAGTCGATAACACCAGATCTTAGACTGTGTATATACGATGAAGCTGGTTGTCCAGACCGCATCAAAGCTCTGCTGATGATCCGGCTCGGCAAACACTTCCTCAAAACCGATCTGGGGGTGTTTCACAAAACTTGATATCAATAACAAGTTACAAGCTACTGTTACAAGCTACTGAAATCATGGCATCTGATTGGCTAAGAGCAAATTTGTCATAGAAATCTAGCATTTGTTATAGATAATAAGTTTTGTGAAACGGGCCCCTAAATAGAAGGGAGTCGATAGGAGAGAAATGAAAATATTAATGGAGAGATGAGGAGGAGGGAAAGGGGGAGACGGGAGAGAAATGAAAATATTAATGGAGAGATGAGGAGGAGGGAAAGGGGGAGACGGGAGAGAAATGAAAATATTAATGGAGAGATGAGGAGGAGGGAAAGGGGGAGACGGGAGAGAAATAATTCATTTTGTCTCTACATTAAAAATAGAAAACGAAATTACAGTTTAATAGTAAACGGGACGGGACTCATTAATCGTATCAAGACCACTTTCCCCCGGTAAACGACACAGGACAATTTGTCCCACCCCCCCCCCCCCTCCCATCCCGATTAATATACAAATATACACTGCCTTGAGAGGTTCTGGTTAAAACTATGCGCAAGAGGTTACTCCAATAGTACTATTTGCTGAGGGGCGCAGCCCCGAAGCAAATGGTACTTTTGGAGTCACCGAGGCCCATAGTTTAACCAGTACCTCGAATAGAAGGCATGGTATATTTGTTTTATATCCTGCATCAAAAAAAATTATTTAAAAAAAAAAAAAAAAATTAAAAATTTTGAGAAGAAAAAAATTTAGAACAAAAAAAAATGTCAATTTTTATCTAAATAGATTTAAAAAAAATTGTTTTCATTGAATTAAGATTTGAAGAAAAAAAATTGATTCAATTTAAAAAAAAAATTCACATTTTTTTTTCCAACTCCCAAATAGTAAACCAAAATAGTACTCTCATAATAGTACTTTCTAAAAATAGGTCAAATATTTCTGGTCATGTGACAAGCTCTCAACCAATCAAAAGCCAACAAATTTTTGATGCAGGATATAATAACTCTTAATAATTACACCAACTACTCAGAGAGATCTACTGGAGGAGGAGGTGAGATGTTTTGCTCGGTGTGATGTTTTGGGGGGATATGATTTCGGGGATCTCACTGGTCCTCCAAAGGCTCATGAAGGGGGCGGGGTGAACACATTTTCTTTATCCATCCTTCACCTCCTTTCAATATTTTCCCCTCCTTTCGTGATTCTGCAGCCGATTCGGCCGTTTCACTCTCTGAGATTCGCCTACGATACTTCTGAAAGATCTATTCTTCTTAATGTGATTTTTTCTTATCTTTTATTTATCTAAAAATTGAGAATGATCATTCATGTTTGAATTTTGAATTTGAATTTGAATGTTACCCTGACATGTGACGTCATATTGATGGGATCTCTGTTGTCCAGGTTCAAATCTTCAACGTCTTTGACCATGTTTGCTTGGTGAAACTTAGGGCCTCCGTTGGTGTCGCTGTTCTGGTTGTGTTCGTTCATTAGAGGCTGGGAGAGTGAGAGAGAGAGACAGAGAGAGACAGAGACAGGGAGAGAATAAAAGAACATATTTTATCAGCTGGTTGCCTGTAATTCTCTTAGTCATAATTATTTTTGTGTCATTGTTTTAATTAAATGGGGCTGCACAGAAGAGAAACAGGAATACTTCGGATGATGATTGCATCATAATGTTTGTTTCAATGAGGCATGTAGGGGTACCGACAATCAAAATTTGTACATTTCCTGATCGTATTTGATACATTTCAGATGTTCTTAATTGATCTTAAATTCTCTCTTTGTTTTGGTCGACGGGAATTAACGCGCATTATAGGAGAACCCACGTACTCTTACAAATCCAAAGAATCGTGAAATGGATTCCACCAGAATTTCGGATTCTATTCAACTGTGAAACGAAGTGAACTTTTTACATTACCATTACCCAGTTGAGTACTAAGTTCTCTCATTCCCTCATGCTAAATTAAGGATTCCCCCACGTCCCATTTGCTGTGTGTTAAAGAAAGTATCCTCTCGTATTGCCCCCCCCCCGCCCCCTCTCGCATCCTGAAGATGATCAACGCATCCATGTTGCTCCTCGTCTTCAAAGCATATGTTAATTTAAAACTATATTTTATCTCTAGTTTTTATCTAATACAGTTACATGGCAACCACATATTCTTTACTTTCAAAGCAATGCAGGGGGAGGGGGGAAATATTTATACAAAAGTATCAAGTTTTCCTCAGACTTGGATAACAGCCAGCATTATTTATATATATAAAATGGACAATTGTTTGTAGGCATATTTTTTTTACAAATTCTAAAAATATCACAATGATTCGATGAATGAATATAATAGTTTATATTAAGAGAGGAGGTATACAAATAATTTGTCCTCAACCAGGCATTTCCGTTGTTCTAACCAGATCATAAGATGCGAAATGAAATAATTTCGACAATATATATATATATATAATATATAAGTCGGTCATCTAGACAAAGCTATTCAATAGAGGTGAACGTCGTATTTGTCCAAAAGACGGGTCATTGTAATAATACAGATGTATAATCACTGTACTATATTTATGCAAAATAAGACGCTACAACCCCCCCCCCCCCCCCCCCCCCCCACTTTTTGTATTAAATAATTAATCTGTAATTTCTTCTTTTATTTAGTGAAATCAATATTCTGTACAAATATGAAAAAATAAACAATCATGCACAAGGTATAAACATAAATTCCTACAATTCAAAATCACTTCATTATTACATATACTGGATACATTAAAGAATGTCGGATATGTTAAACGTTATAATCATAGCTAACTCAAAACCTCAGCTTACTTCAATTCTACAGTGGATAACTAAAAGGGTTTTTCTTTCTTCATCGAAAGCCCGAGTTTATAATAAGTCCAACACCCTCAACGCAAACACCACTCCCTCCCAAAGCTCCCCGCTTCCCATCCTTCACCGGGCCACCTCCCCCATGAGTATTTGTATTTGCATTTCAACCACCGATTAAGACTGGTTCCCCCCCCCCCCCCCCTCTACCCTTGAAGTTATGCTAAGGACCACGTTACGTTGTCCATAATGGATTAGATTAAGTTTTTAATGTTATGCATCATAATCTAATCCGTTTCAAATATCGTTGATCCGGAAGTGATTAATATCAAACATATTCTTTCGTCTGGCCGCTAACAGTATGACGTAGGTTGCCTTAATACCACCCTGCTCACCCATTCGCTTAATCTAAAATGTATAAATAATTCGAACTGGGTGGTATTGAAGCTAATGTATCTTTATGAAAACTTGTTATCATTCAGCAAGGTTGGATATCCCGATGTAAAGATCAACGGCTTAAAAGGAATTTGGAGGGTGAAATTCATCAATAAAATAGTCTTTTTAATGTGCATAGTATCGTGACGTCATTAGGCAAACCATATTAATGTACATTTTAATATTTTAATTGAAACAGCTCCTCTAAAATTAAAGACGTATAATTTAGGTCAAATGAATTATAGATGTGTTTTTCTTTTTCACTACTACTATATGACGACGTCAACGATTACCATGACATTTTGATAAATGAGTTTAATCCATGCTTGTATAATGCTTTTGTTGAACGCAATATAATTGTTTTCCACCCACAACGTAACGTTACATGTATATCAAATGATCTAACTTGAAAGTTATGTCTGTACGTTGGGCAATGACAACATAAAATCAAATTAGTGGTATAAAATCTAAGATATGCAGCTTTTCAATTTACGAGCAAAAAATGTTGGAAGAATTACATCGACATATCCATGATAACATCGACGGTTCATTTCGAGTCAATATATTTTTTTTAAATACGAATGGACCTCTTCCTGTCAATGTGACTCAAACACAATAAAAATCAAATATTATTTTTTATTTCATAACGGGAGGAGGCAACTCGTCGCCCCATGGGTCAGCCATATCTATCCACCATCTGTAAAAAAAAAAATGGACACATGCCAATCTTTTCTTTTGTAAATACTGACCAAAGAACTTTCACAGAAATCCCTATAATATTTTGATGATAACAAGTCATGATGAGAATGATTTTAGCACAGCAAGCAGAGGAAAGAAGACATAAAGTGACACACAATGAAACACAGCAGAAGCAGGATGATGGTGGTGACGATGATGATGATGATGCGGTAGCAGCTAATCCCAGAAGGGTCCGAAATAAAACAAACTGCAGAGAAGCAAACGATGAAGCCAGGCAGATGAAGCAGCGGAAGAATGTCACAAGTTACATACTTTACTCTTCGTCTGTTTCTCTTCATCTCTATCTCTTCTAGATGTCTCAGGATCTTCGGACAGAGATCGAGAAGACACCGCCTTTTGGAGAGTGCCAAGAAACTTTCCTCCATTTCTCCCCGCATTTCTCCCGGTGGTCACTGCAGACTTCGAGTTGGGCTTACAGTACGCCCATACCTAGAAATAGTGGTAGAGATTCATCAGAAAACCAATTCATGCAAGGGAGGTTATTAGTGGGAGGTAATGTTACAAGGGAAGGATGGTTATGGGTGGGTGAGTCTAAACGGTGTAATTGATATGATACGACCATTCTATTTTCGGATAAAATTCTTCTTACAACCTCAGCAACAGAGACAAAAAGAATTGCAGGACATACAGTAACAAAACATTGGAATGTGACAAATAACAACAAAATGATTTTTAAATTGATGTTAGATGTGTAATTTTGAGCTTTGGTGTGTTTGAAGCCCTTCTCGCACAGTAAGAGATACGGGATGATAGGTCGACTTTTCATCCCTATTAGAATGAAATATGGTAATGCACCATATCAAAACCACCGTTTGAACGTCACATAAGATATAACCAATGACAACATGCATCTATGGATGCACCTCTTTCTGTAGATACCTACCTGGTGGTTTCCGTTCTTGCTAAAATTCATGTATATCTCCATTTTGTCAGGTTCGCGATAAGGTCCTGTGGGCATACAAGTGGATGATCTAAGATCTGCCGTCATAGTCGCAGTAATCCATAGCCTTTACGCACACGTTGCAGAACTCAGGTGCCATTAAACGCACCGGGAAGGTGTCTTCGGCGGAAGCAAAGCAACAAGTAGCATATGACATTCACACAAACACACACTCACTCTCTCTCTCTCCCACCAATACTATGATTGCGTGTATCGGACAGGGCTGCTGTCCAAGAAAAAGTGTCAGCCAAAATGATAATCCAAGCTGCAATGGTCCAAGCTGTGATTAACACTAGGAATAGTTCCTAAGGGGCCACCAGGCCTAGAGATATTATGACACTTTTGATTAGTCACTAATGCCTCGATGATATACCGACGAGCATGAATTAAAGCGGACATATAGGCCTATTTTCGTCAGTACAGCCGTTACCTCTCTTCTACTCGTTCAGCAAAATTAATTTATAGGTCCCTTTGATTTAAAAAAAAAATCAAAACAGCCCCTGCTGCATGGGACAATCGTAGCTCTTAATCATTAAATCACAGTACAAGACGAATCGTAAATGTATAACGGATTTACTATTAGGCCTACGTTATCGTTAAAAAACTAAATTATCCGAGTAAATGTAAATGCTCTCTCTCTCTCTCTCTCTCTCTCTCTCTCTCTCTCTCTCTCCATCTCTATCTCTCTCTATCTATCTCTCTCTCTATCTATCTATCTATATCTCTCTCTCACTGGTTCACTCCATCATTGCCCCTCTCTCATCTCTTGGAATGTTAATACAATATTTCTTAAATATAATTGTAGGCCTTCTTTGTCCTTTAACCTATAACAATGAAAATATTTGCACATGTTCTCCTGACGCAAGAAAGGAAATATATCATAATCAACAATGATAAGATAATAACCTAATTAAAACTCTCTAACCCAATTCGCCCCCACCACCCTCCCCCCGGCCCATAAATCAATCATACTCCAAATGACGAATAGTGACCTGCCGTGGCTCTGAATTTTCAAAGACAATGGATTTGTCTCGTAACCCTATTAATTTTTCTAGGTCACATGGTCACGTCCTTATATAATATCTCATATTGTTCCACTTCGAATCAGACACCTGCCCCCCCCCCCCCTTCCCCGCTCAAAATCTAAATTTGAATGATTTCTCTTGTGAACCACTTTAAGACACAATTTTTATTTAGATCTTGGCGCTTCCTTTTTTCTTCTCCTTTCCCTCCCCTTTTTCTTCATTGTTTCCACCACCTGGTTGGGGGCACGGGGTTCGTGGTCCAATTTCTACGACGTCGGTTGACGACTTGTCGTCTGTGTAAAAAAAACAAGAAAGCTAAACAAAACAAAAACATTGTGACGTCCGTATACAAAATAAAAAAACCATGGTGGAAGCCAATATAGTATGCTTAGCATTTTGAGCGTAGTAGCTCTTGCTGGAATGCTCCCCAGGGAGTGGAGAAAGTGTATACAATGTCTAGCATTTTAGTGTGACCATCCTATGGTGTCACTTCATCTTTTTAAACAAATTGAGG